ATCGATCAAATCCATAATATTAGCCAAATATCTTTCCGAATGATTGTTGGAGAGTTTCCCAGCAACTGCCTTCCATTGTCAACTCAATTATTTCCCCGTAAATAATTCCTAGGACAATTTTAGAAAAAGTCAACAAGATCATTTTTCCAGTTCATAATAATGCTAGGACAGATTCTAAAAGACGAAATCTAACATATGTGGAATACATCAGATACGATGGGAAGGCTAGTGCACACATTTATTTATTTATTTATTTATTTATTTAATTTATATCCCGCCCTTCTCCTTACGGACTCAGGGCGGCTAACAACCAGATAAAACATTAATCCCCAAAAAACCACAAATTTAAAAACATAAGTAAAAACAAATATTAGAATTAGGTCAAGTTAATTTAAAATGCTTTAAAACCCCGTTAAAATTTTCCCCTAGGCCAGTCCTGCACGTTGGAATAACCATGTCTTAAGGGCGCGGCGGAAGGAAGGGAGATCAGGGATCACCCTGATCTCTGCGGGTAGCTCATTCCAGAGGGTGGGAGCTCCCACAGAGAAGGCCCTCCCCCTTGGGGTCGCCAGCCGGCACTGTCTGGCCGACGGCACCCTGAGGAGACCCACCCTGTGGGAGCGTACAGGCCGATGGGAGGTAATCTGTGGCAGAAGGCGGTCTCGAAGATATCCTGGTCCGATGCCATGGAGCGCCTTAAAGATGATGGTCAACACCTTGAAGCGCACCCGGAAGGCTACCGGCAGCCAATGCAGCTCGCGCAGCAGCGGTGTTACGTGGGAGCGACGAGTCCCTCCCAACACCGCCCGCGCGGCCGCATTTTGGACTAGCTGGAGCCTCCGGGTGCTCCTCAAGGGAAGCCCCATGTAGACAGCATTGCAGTAGTCCAGGCGGGAGGTGACCAGAGCATGAGTGACTGTGCGCAAGGCATCCCGGTCCAGAAAAGGTCGCAACTGGTGAATCAGGCGTACCTGATAAAACGCCCCCCTGGTCACGGCCGCCAACTGATCATCCAGTGTCAGCCGTGAATCCAGGAGGACACCCAGATTGCGTACCCTATCCGAGGGGGCCAAAGTTTCGCCCCCTATAGTCAGCGATGGAGTCAGCTGACTATGCCGAGGCGCCGGCAGCCACAGCCACTCGGTCTTGGAAGGGTTGAGCCTGAGTCTGTTCCTCCCCATCCAGACCCTTACGGCCTCCAGGCAACGGGCCATCACATCAAGGGCATCGTTGGGGTGGCCTGGGGTGGAGATGTACAGCTGAGTATCATCAGC